CACGGCACTGATATATATATATATATATATATATATATATATATATATATATATATATATTATATATATATATATATATATATATATATATATATATATATATATATATATATATATATATATATATATATATATATATATATATATATATATAGATATATATATGTATATATATATATATATATATATATATGTATATATATATATATATATATATATATATATATATATATATATATATATATATATATATATATATATATAGATATATATATGTATATATATATATATATATATATATATATATATATATATATATATATATATGTATATATATATATATATATATATATATATATATATATATATATATATATATATATATATATATATATATATATATATATATATATATATATATATATATATATATATATATTATATATATATATATATATATATATATATATATATATATATATATATATATATATATATATATATATAATATATATAGTAAACTACCGATTATCCGAACTGGAACTTATTCAGATTTTCACTTTCAATTTTCATTCCCTTTAATAAACTCATGCAAATGTTCATTAGTTACTTGAACATGCAGTTATTGAAAACAATATTTTTATACCCTTTACGATAAACAAAACACATTTGTTTTACAAGGAAAAAGCTAAAGAAGCATCTCATTCAAAAGGTCTTTTTTTTTTTACTTTCTACTTTTATTTAAATTTAAGAGTAACTTAAATAGGTCACTTTAAAGATAATTTTTAGTTATTCGAACTAAATTCTTATACCCCTTGGAAGTTCGAATAACCGGGAGTTTACTGTATATGAGTGTGTGTATATATATACATACACACATATATTTACTGTATATGTGTGTGTTTATATATACACACACACATATACAGTAAACCGGGAGTTTACAAAATTTACTTCAATAGTTGTAACTATAAATTATAAATTTAAAAAATAGTATGTACTTTGTTCATAAGCATAAAACCAGTAAAAATCATATCATTCCTCAATCTTTGATCCACCAAAGTTTTACTAAATTAAATTTCAATTGGTAATCAAACTACCACAAGTCAAATAATTTAGACAGTAATACTGAAATCAGTTTTGACCAATAGTTAATATAAGGTGTTTTTTTATTCTTTACCATATATAAAACAAAGAAAAATTAAATCAAAAGAGAAACAAAAGTATTCACAAACATAACTACTTACATTGTTTAGAGCACTCTGTAGTTGGGAATTTAAATCCTTCACATACTTCTTTATCTATTAGTAATTATTTAGTAAAATAAATATAAACAAAAAAATGTAAAAACTAAAATGTAAAATAAGTGTAAAAAGATTACAATATATATCTAGGCAATAATAATACTATAAACAGTTTCAAAATAATACTTATTGCGAAATAAAAATAAAATAGTTTATTTGATACAGTAGTTCACCGTTAATACAAAACTGTAATAAATTTGTTTTAATCATATAAAACAACTAAAATAGCAATGAGCATTGTAAAATTTAATGACATCCAGTTACTTTAACTCTTTAAGTCTAAGCTTGTTTGAGAAATTATCGATTATAGGCAGCTTTCATTGCATGAACAGCAGTTTGACAAAATAATCATACATCTTTCACCAAACAAGATGGTATAAGTGCCTCTGGTTCATCCCTGTTTATAAAATAAAAAACTAAACTCCAAGAATGTGAAGCCATAATAATAGATTATCTAAACAGGCAGCATTTGTTTTATTTACAGATATATATATATATATATATATAAACATATAAACATACATTTATATATATATATTTTTTATTTTTATTTTAATTCACCTCCTAAAGGCCGAGAAGGCCACTACAGACGAGGAAGCTACTTATTTGTTGCTATAACCCTCTCTCAGCTCTATAACTCCGAAACACGAACCTTGACGAACAAGGCCGCTGCGCGGAAAAGCGAGTTGGGCGCGGTACTACCAGGGACGTGGTGGGGATCGAACTCGGAACCACTCGTTTATGAAGCGAGCGCTCTACCACTACACCACTACCGCATTTGTATATATATATATATATATATATATATATATATATATATATATATATATATATATATACATATATATATATATATATATATATATATATATATATATATATATATATATATATAATATATATATATATATATATATATATATATATATATATATATATATATATATATATATATATATATATATATATATATATACATACATATGCATACTTTCATTATTAGTTGAAAATTTGATACTGAAGTATTTTTTTGATAATTAGGGTGAGGTGTTCAAAGTTTTTCAAATAAATTAAAAATTTAGGCTGTTAACAGACTTAATTTAGTCTGACTTATTATGTTTTATTAATTTTGACAATACTTTATGCAACTGAGTATTATTATTATAATTTATTTATTTTATTGTAATTTGATCTATTTTTTAAAAAAGATATTGATCAGTCTTAAACAGACAAGAGTTGTATTTCCAGCAATGTACAACATTTATCAATAAATAAATATATATATATATATATATATATATATATATATATATATATATATATATATATATATATATATATATATATATATATATATATATATATATATATACATACATATATAAAAAATATATATATTTTTTATATATATTCATAAATTTACCCATATAAACATGCCTAAACACATAATATTAAAATAAATAAAATTATATATTATTAAAAATAAATGATAAAGAATAAATGTTAGAATTTAATATACAACACTAACTCTATAATAAGGACTAGCTACTTTATCTGATAAAATTAGAAGTTCTTTTAAAAAATGGAAAGTAAGTTACTTATCCAAACATGTTTTTATACAAAAAAAACATAATAATGCATACTTTCATTATTAGTTGAAAATTTAATACTGAAGTATTTATTTGATAATTAGGGTGAGGTGTTCAAAGTTTTTCAAATAAATAAAAAATTTAGTCTGTTAACAGACTTAATTTAGTCTGACTTATTATGTTTTATTAATTTTGATAATATTTTATTCAACTGAGTATTATTAAAACAAAGTATCATTTCTAACTAAGAAATAACATATTTAAAAAAGTTGAGCATTTTATTAAAATGGTCAACTTAAAATAAATACAAAATCAAAAAAAAAACCTGAATATATCGATTTTACCTTGAGATTGTTGTATATTATATACAACTTGACATAAAATCTAAAGGTTTTAAATTATTCGCAATAAAAATAGGTTATAAAATACAACTTTGTTTAAATATATTTTTTAAACCATATAAATGCATTCTATTAGGTTTTCTTAGCCTTTCCATTACGGCAAATTATTTTTGTAATGGCTAGTTATTGACAATAATTTTCAATGTGCCACTTCCTCAACGTTATTAAAGCAATGTTTTATTAACGTTGGCAAAGTAACACTTTTTAAACGTTTTTTAATGCCAAATTTTTAACTTTGGTATATGTAACGTTGAATAAGTGATGTTTCAAAAATAGCCTAAATACGATAAAAAAGCAGCGAGGGTAAAACCACCAATTCCTGGCCACTTAATTTTAAACTTCGTTATATATTACCGCGAACGGCATAGGATCATGAAAAAATAATTCTAAATTTCTAATAAACTTTTTGAGATACAATTTATGACAAGTTTGGTAACTTTTGTCAATAAATTAACAAGTTTCAGCACAAATACCATAATGCTTAAAAAACACCAAATCCTGGCCGGAGATCCGAAACATGGCCATTGCGAACTTATTCCTGGCATTAAGTTTTACGAAGTAAAAGTACTGAAAATATTTTTAAAAACACAACAAATTTATTGTCTCGAGTTTAAAAAATAAGTTCTGCACAAATTTTTACTTGTGCATATTCAGGAAATATAGAATAAAAGCAAAATGCGAAAATAATAAGAAAATCCCTTTTTTAACAGCTAAACAAAAATAAATTTTAAATCGCTTCACAAAACTAAGCAAATGTCTTAAATGAATAAAAACATAAACTTGCTATACTTATGTGATTAATACTAATGTTTTTTGTCATGTCATAAAGTAGCAGTTTAAGAAAAAAGTCAGCGTTTGATAAGATTTTCAGTTTTAAAATGGATTTTAAAATTTCAACAACAATCTCAAAAATTTACCAATTCAAAATGGTCCTTATGAGGTTTAGTAAAAGAAGTATATTAAATTAGGCAACAAAATACATAAGCATAATATAGTGATACTTTGCAAATAACTCAACATTGAATTGCTGTTTTTTTTCAAAATAAAAAAATTAAAATTTCGTTAAAAATATTTAACAGAAAAATAATTAAATATTTATTTAAAAAATAAAGCAAACAATTACAACACTTTTATCAGGATACCGATTCGTCCATCGTTTTTGGATCATTAAGTTACATTAACATTTTTCAACATTGTTTGCAAGAGTTGCTTGTATCGTCTATATTTTTTTTTTGTTTAGATTGGATTAAATTTTTTTTATTTGGTTTTGTTTTATTATTCATAGTATTTGCTTTGTCAGATAATGGAAAGTTAGTCTTTGCAATCAGTTTTTTCTTAGCAATCTGAGTTTCAATAATTTACACTGTTCTTTTTCCTTCAACTTTTGTTGAAGTGCTTCAAATCTCTTTCTGAACCCATTCTCTTTTTCTTTATTTTTTTCTCTTTTAGTTTCTTATCTCCAGAATCTTAGCATAGCAGGCTTCCTTAGATGTCAATATGAAATATGTTGGTTGCAGGCCATTTTTTGAAAATTTTTTAGTAGTTTTGGCTGGTGGAATTTTATTGGGATTGAATGGAAATATACCACAGGCATTAAACCCTGATTTAATGTTTTTTTCCGATAAGGCTTTTACCCATGCTATTCTAAACAAAGCACAAAAATTCTTATGTAACACTAAAACACCTGGATACATATTCATCATATCTTAGCAAGCAACATTATAGTGTTGTTTGAGTGCTCTAAATACACTCCGATCACAAGGTTGAAGCCAATGTGATGTGTGTGCTGGAAGTTCAGCTATAACGATGTTATTCTTGATAGCTGAATCAATCAATTCTATAAAATTATGAGAACTAAGACCATCCAAAATTAATATTTGAGGTCGCTCAGGTCCTATATTTGTTAACAAAGATTCAGAAAACCAACGAAATGCAACACCTTGTTTAGTCCACCTAGAATCAGAAACACTCCAAGTACTTCTTTCAGGAGCTGAAAGAACTTCAAAGCCATTTAAAGCTCTTCTGGTTTTACCTTTCACAATAATGTGAGGAGGTATGTGAGTGCCTGAGGCACTAATTGTGGCAATTATTGTTTCACAATTTCCACTTGTCCGACTTTGTATATATCTTAAACTTGACTTAGTAACAACCTTTTCTGGTGTATGCTGCAATTGCAAATCAGTTTCATCCATATTCCACACACAATGGGGTTTGCAATAAAGACTCACCTCATCCATAACTTGCTTCAGCGCGTTAAAATAAATAGAAATCTTTTTCTTGTCCATACACTGATGGCGAATAGCAGCTGTACCCTCAGGAATTCTTAGTCGAAAAGTTGAATGTCTTTTTTTATATAGAGACCACCATTTTTTAGATGGCAGACCATTCTTGAATGGAATACCCCGCTTTCTTGCTATATCCCCAGCATATTTCATAAACTGACGCCTTCCAAAACCAATACCCATAGATGTTCTTTTAGATGCATATTCAACAAGCATAAGCTCATCTTCACTTCCAAGTTTTGTAGAACAACCTGAACGTGCACACATTTCAGTTTTTCCATAAAAACAATTTTGCAAAGTGCAACGAGAAATCTTGAAAGTTTTAGATGCAGTACGTTGAGTCATTCTTTTTTCTTCGACTGCAGCCACTGCTTCGACCATTTGGCTTTTGTCCATTTTAAAACTTTTTCTCCTTTCCTCGGATAAAAGTTACAGTGTTTTATTTTACTTTTTTTATTTTTGAAAATTTTTTTTATTTGAGATGGATGCATAATTTTACCTAAAAAAAGTTACTTATAAAACCAAAAAGAACAAAATGTTTCAAAACGGAAAACGTTTTCACTTATGAGATTTATTTTAAAAAACTTAATTTTAAAAACAAACAAGAAAACATATATAAACTATATTTAACATGCAATTGCTATAATAAGCACATATAAATGTATATATATATATATATATATATATATATATATATATATATATATATATATATATATATATATATTTGGATGAAAATAATAAAATAGAATAAATAATGGGGATAATAAAAATTTGACTCAACTTTATAATTAAAACCTTTTATTTTAACTAACTTTGTTTTTTTATAACAAAATTTATATTACAATTAAGACCTTATTCATGGCCAAAAATAGTTTGACATGTGGCCATGATTAGGTCATTATTTATGGGTAACAAAAACTAAAAAAGTGACAACTTAAACACGACCAAACAATGTAATTTTTATTTCAAATCAAAGTAAAATGTTTTTATTACTAGAATAAACCGTTGCAATTGAATTAAATTTTATTTAGGGTTGTTAACCGGAGGATTTCGTGCAATTCCGGAAAAACAACATTCTTTCGTAAGGAGATTGAGAACACGGAATTACATTTTTTCGTACCGAATGTTACAAAACATTTAAAATCGCCGATGTTCATTTCGCAAAAGCATTTCCGAAATTTAGCATTTCGCAAGTTGACATACGAAACAAAACTATTTTGCAACATAAGAAAGTAGCGGTTTTGGAAGTCGCACTTGCGAAACAAACATTTTTGCCAAACGACGTTTTGAAGTCTATAAAGAAAATTTGTTTGCCAGACTGATTTTAATTGTAAAAATTAACATCTTCAAATCCCAAAATGTTTATAATGAATTTTTATTTTCAGTAAAATAACTTATTAAATTTTTACGGTTTTATTTTTAGAAATATTGATAAAAAATAAAATTTCTTTTGAAACGAAAGTATTTCGGATCACAACATACGAAAGAATTCTTAACGGAAATAAACTTACGAAACGTGCCATAATAAATATATACAACGATGTTTTTTGAACTCATTACGTATATTAAAAATAAGAATGATGGGTAGGAATAAACATGTTTTTTTTTTAAAGCATATGAAATTTTTGAAACAGGTTCGAATATGCTTAAGCAAATAGTAAAAAGAGGCTCAAAAATATGCTTTAGCTTAAGCATATTTCTGATAAAATATACCTATTTCAATAATTTCTAAAAGTGTGCACGTTACTAAAATTCTAGCAGATTTTAAAGGTATGTAGAGTCCTGTTTGAATACGCTTTTCAAAGTATAGATCATAGAAAATTTTGTTTTTTAATTTTAATAAGATATAAATTTGAGTATAAGATTGTATAGTTCAATCAGTTAGATACGTGATAATTCGCCGCAGAGATCCGGGTTCGCATACCGCAGCCATTGTAACTTTTGTTCATCAAACTCTTTTTACTTAAGATAGCATTTTTTGACCTCCATGTTCTATATTACAGATCTTTCGTCGCCTTCACAATAGTGACAACCTCTCTTCTGTTAGTTATTCTTTTAAGATTGAGTTCATTGTGCTTAATTCAACACGTTTCCCTTGCTTTACAAAGTTCTACTTAAATTATGATGAAATGTACGTAAAACAATTTTTTCAAATAATATAATTCATTTTGCTTTAAATCTTTTGCTTTTTGTACTAGACATCTGTCCTAAATACTTTGTAATAATTTCTAGCTAACTTTGAGTCTAATATAACCATTTCTGAATATAATTTCCCTGAGGCTCCTACAGCCTATTGTGTTCCATTAAAAGTAACTAGTTTTTGAGTCCAGATATTAATTATAAGCATCTAAAGGTTCACATTACTATTCATTTTCCTGATATATAGAATCCTATTTGCATACGTATCTCTTTCTGTAAATTCTGTTTCATATAGTTTCAAATTATATATTAAATAAATATTACTATTCTCTTAGTTGAATGAACGTATAGCTCATTCAGTTAAGACATTTGGCCGCGTAGACCCAGGTTCACATCCCGCTGTTTCACATATATTTCTTCTCTTTTTACTCTTTCTGATATCATTTACCTTTAGAGAGATCTCTCGTTCTTTATAATAAAGTATTTAATTGTTTATCACACATCCTCTTTATACTTTTTAAAAAGAAAGGCATACTGTTTATCTATTCATTGAGAGTCCAACTTAACGGGATTTTACTGTATATATAAGTATATATATATATATATATATATATATATATATATATATATATATATATATATATATATATATATATATATATATATATATATATATATATATATATATATATATATATATATATATATATATATACATATATATATATATATATATATATATATATATATATATATATATATATATATATATATATATATATATATATATATATGTATGTATATATATATATATATATATATATATATATATATATATATATATATGTATATATATATATATATATATACATATATATACAGTAAAATCCCGTTAATGTATATATATATATATATATATATATATATATATATATATATATATATATATATATATATATATATATATATATATATATATATATATATATATATATATATATATTAGGTATATTTGTATAAACATTTGAAGAATCATTTGACAACATTTTTTTATAATTTTATTATTTATTATTTAAACTGTTAACAGTTAATATCTTAAATATATCGTAACATAAAATCTTTTGCGTCTTTTTCGTAACTACACATTCCGGAATGCTTTTTCCGTAAGGAACTATTTCGTAAGTATTCTTACGAAATGATTTGTTTTGCAAGTTTTCTTTCGCAATGCTTTATTACGGAATTTTATTTATTTATATTTTCGTATAGCGCGTTACGGAATGTGCATTTTCGCATGTGCAACTTCCGTAATAACAATTCTATTACGGTAGATAAAAATGCGAAATTTTCGCAAGTTTTGTTTTTCGGCGAACAACCCTAATTTTATTATTGTTATTAAACAAGATAAATCAGCGAGACGTTTTTTCGCATTTTTGTTTTCACGGTCGGAATATTTTCCACAATATAAACAAAGTTAGTATAATTTTATATGTCAAATACAATAACGTAGCGTTGATCTTATGCAAAGGACTGAGGTTCCAAACTTAAAAATTAAATTAAATTTTTATTTTCAAAAATTTGGAAAGCCACCAACTCAATATTTAAGACAATAAAGTTCATTGAAAAGTGTCCAGGAATTAGTGCTGGCCAGGTATAGGTGGTTTTACCCTAATGTCTCACGTTTATAAACTATTAACTTTGCGACGCTTTTACAGTGATTATTTGTGTACTTTTATTCAACGTTGAATAAACGCGATATTTTGAGAATATAAGATACATTTAAATTTATACGCTTATTCAACGTTGAAAATGTCACGTTTAAAAAGCGGTTTGTTTTTAACGTTGATAAAGAATATACTTCGAAACGTTTTTAAAGTGGCTTTTTGCGTAAGTTGATTCCACGTTGAATAAACGTTTTATTTCGAGAAGGTAAATTACGTTACGATTTCGACGCATATTCAATGTATCAATTTTCCGCAATTTAGAATACAAAAACAGACATTGATTCAACGTTGAATGCACGTTGTTTTTGTGACTGTAACACTTTTTCTACGCTGCGACTGATTTCTAACGTTGATTCAACGCTGATATGTTTGCTGGGTAGATTTGGTTCAAATCTACCCAGCAAACATATCAGCAAACATATCACTGGTTCAAACCCCACCTCAGGACAAGTTTTGCGACATCGGTTGGGAAGGAGGCGTGAACTTCCTATTAAATGCTCTTCCATGGTGTTCTGTGATAAGACTGTAAGGACTTCTTGGGGCACCTTAATCAACTTAAAATATATATATATATATATATATTTATATATGTATATATGTATATATATATATATATATATATATATATATATATATATATATATATATATATATATATATATATATATATATATATATATATATATATATATATTAATTTATAAAAATAAAGAAAACAACTTTTTTTGGTACTAATAGTTTCATGCCTAAAGGCAAGCACTTTCCAGTTGGACATAAATACCACAAGATTTTTAATAGAAATACTCTAAAGGTGAGTTACAGTTGTATGCCAAACATCAAATCAATCGTTAACTTTCATAACCGTCATATTATGAAAAGCATCCCCCCAGAATCAGATAAAAGTTGCAATTGTATTACTAAAAGCAAGTGCCCTTTAAATCAACAGTGTCTCGTTAATAACATAGTGTATCAAGCCACTCTATATCCAGGCACTCCAGACGGGATTGAAAAAGTGTATTTTGGAGTAAGTGAAACTGCTTTTAAACTTAGATACGCTAATCATACAAAATCTTTTAAGATCGAAAAATATAAAAACGATACTGAGTTGTCTAAGGAAGTATGGAAGTTAAAGGAAAATGGAGTAAACCCGACAATTAAATGGAAAATTTTAAAACGTTGTAGATCTTACAATCCCACAATAAAACGATGCAACTTATGTCTATACGAAAAGTATTTCATAATATCGTATACCTATGATAACTTATTAAATAAGAGGAATGAATTAGTATCTAAATGTAGACATAAAAGCAAGTTCCTCCTTTCGAATTTCGATACGGGTGATTAGGCAGCCGTTTTTAGGTTTTTGTTTTTGTTTTGTTTTGACGACGGAGCACATTCCACTGTAACTTTATATTTTAACGGTTTTTTTTGTTTCTTGTTTTGTATTACATGGCTGATGATTGCCTTTAGGCATGAAACTATTAGTACCAAAAAAAGTTGTTTTCTTTATTTTTATAAATTAATATAATGCTC